TATAATTTATAAAATATATAGTTTAATTATATTATATTTATGAATATCTAATAATTTAATTATAATTAATTTTTACATTTAATTATAATTATAATAAATGAGATTTTTATAATATACATTATAACAAATTAAATTTATAATATAATATATAAATTTATAATATTAAATTTACAAACATGTAATAAGAATAATATTTAATATAATATATAAATTTAACTGCGAACCTGGACCGGTTCACCGGTTGAACCTCCAGTTCACCGGTTGAACCGTCGGTTCAGTCTGGTTCAGGCCGGTTCTCTATAAAGCCGGTTTTTAAACTGGACGGGATCGGACAAGGGTCGGTTCACGGTTGAACCGGTCGGTCCGGTCCGATTTTTAAAACCTTGATCTGGACTCTCATCTGATCAAACTCTACATTAAGTCCTGCAAGAAAAGTATATATTATCTTTCTCAATAAAGTTTTTCAAGATGACAGCATCTTCTGAACACTTGGTCTCTATGCATCTGTAGTGATCAAGTTCTTACCATAGGTTTTGAAGAAGAGTGGCATATTCTGTCACACTCTTGCTTCCTTGTTTTGTGCTTCCCACCTTGATTTTAATTTCAAAGATTTGGGCAGCATCCCAAGCTTTTGAGAACGTTTGTCTAGCGACATCTCATATGTCATTTGCAGTGGATAGGAACATAAACGTATCACTAATTTATAGAGTCATGGAATTCCAAAACCATGACATAATCATGGAGTCCTTCATCCCATGGCCAAAAATTAATATCTCCCTCTTTTAATCGTCCTCCAAGGAGGTGATGTATTTTTCCTTTCCCTTTCAAGTAGGTCTTCACATATTGAGACCACTTTAGATAGTTCTTCTCATTTAGGCGATAGAAAGGTTTCATGCTTTGGAGATTACCTCATCCTTGGTGCACCATAGAATCCTCATTCCTCAATTTGATCAAAGCTCTGAGAGGAATTACCTTCATACATTATGGTGTCAAAAAAGATAGTAATGAAGACTATCTATAATCATATCCTCAATCTTCTGGCCCCAACAATGAAGGCCAATGCTTCTTTGAGTAAATAGGAATTTAGTAGATCCTATTTGGTTCAGTCAACCACGCTCCAGGTCACAATCACAACTCCGTTCGGCTCAGTTGCATACGCAGGAAGCCTACTTGCTTGGGTCGACTCCTTCATAAGACTTGTGCTCACAACTTGACTCTAGACGCACAAACAAGAACGGACCTTTCAGGACCGCTCGGCCTCTTCTTCCCGACACACGAACGATAGCTTCTAGCTCTATCTTGCATCCAATTTTGCTCCAACAATGATGTGAGAGCTGCTCGTCCTTCACTGGCAATGTTCCGCTCAGTTCCTACGAATTCCAGGCTTTTGACCTCCTTTCTTGATCAGCTCTTCCGGTGATGAAGGCTTTCGACCTCCAAGCTTAAAAAGGATTTTATTTTTTGTGCAGAATTTAAAACTATCATTTTTGTTATTTGGCAGGATTTAGGATAAATTATGATTAAATCCTACTCAAATTATTGATGTAAGTTTATGTAAGATTTAAAATCGTCATTTTTGCTATTTGACAAGATATTAATGCCTAAATTTTACTATAATCAAGCCATTATTTGTTATTTAATAGTATTTAATATTAATAAAAAAAAATTTTCTATTGTGCACTGTGTTTAAAAAGGCGCGCACTACGCCGTGCGCTATGCGCTATGGCTCCACGGGGATTTTTGCGCTGTGGTGCGCCATTCGCCACTAACAAATATGCTTCCTTCGTATCTTCTCTTACGAAGGTTTGGCAACGATAATGGCAAATGAAGGCCGACTATGGCTCTGATACCATGTCGAATTCAGAGATTTGAGAGGGAAAAACCTCACCCCTATTTATAGATCTATACAAGATATCAAATAAAGAAACTAAATAAATTACAGAATCAAACATTATTGTCCTAATACAATCCAATCAAGTATTTTTGTCCTAATACAATCCTTTTCTAAATCATCCACCTAACAATGGAAAGAAATTGGCGTGATTCATGGGAGCCTCCCACGAATCCCCATGGAAATCATCGACTGGGATTAGCAGTGGAAACCATCAGCTGGGATTTAACAGAATTAAATATTTGAGTACATATTTATTATAATGTTATCACTAAATATTTAAAATTATATTATATACTAAATATTATATTATATCTTATATTTAATACTTAACAATATAAATAAATATTATATTAACTAATTAAATTTTATATTAAATATTTACTGATATAATAATTAAATAAATATTTAATTATAAGTTATAATTACTAATGAAATTTATCTAATTAAAGTACTTAAATAAAATATAATTAAATTAAATTAACATTGTAACAATTTAGTTAATTAAATTATTTTAAATTTTTTTATAATTCATTTAAGCATATGTTAAATAACATTTCTATGCTTATATAAATTAAAAATAGATAATGTCATGAGAATAACTCGATATTAAATTGTCAACTTTTAAAATACAGCAACTTCTCCACTCAAACTTGATTTTCAACTCTCTTACTTTACAAATTGCTTTGGACAAGAGAGTTTGAAGTAGTTCTTCAATTACTGGCTTATTTATAGCAACTGAAGGGAGCATTGAATCAAGTAATAAAATGAAAAATAAAAAATTATTTAATTTAAAATAATGAAAAATTAATAATTGCATACAATTGTCGGCCTTAAACAGTTTCATATCTGCTTTGAATTCACGAATTTGTCGGACTAAATGTACTTTGGATCCAAAAATTCACAAGCATGACAAATTTGTAGAGTGTCAATTGCGTGAAATGGTTTTGTGCATTCAGCATGAAACCATTTCACGCACACGACTAGATTCGACAAATCATTTTGCGTATTTGAGCGGCTTCGGCAAATGATTTCAAGTATTCTATGCTACGTAATTCTATTTTGTGTATTCTAAAATACTTATTTTTCGTATCTTCCTTATTTAGATATCTTCTTCTTTTAAAATTATTATAATGCTCGGCTCCTCTCACTATTTATATTTAATACTAAGCTCCATTTAAAAATTTTGCCAAAATATAAATCTAGCAATCATGACTCGTACAGATAGTGCGACAGCAACATTGTGAAAAGCTAAAGAAACTAAGGGGCTATTTGGCAACCAACACGATTTACCTACTTAGGATTTAGTAAATCCTCGGGTTGTTAAAACCTGAAAAACTGTTTGACAACTTTAGTGATAAATCCTATTAAATCCTGTGAAACTATTTAGCAATATAATCCAGGATTTAAGGCGGTTAGTTCATTATAAAATTAAATACATTACGTTTTTAATATTAATTAACTCTTAAGTAAGATTATATTATTAATTTCTATCTTGATAAACATCAGTAAGTTGTAATGATAAGTAATATCATTAGAATCTTGCTTAATTAGCAATTAACATAATTAAAATTTTATTTATTGATTATAGTCCTAATTATCAAAGTACTTAGTTGTTAATTGATTAAGTAGTTGATATATAATGAATTAGCTAATAATTTTTTTAAATAAATAATTATTTAACTAATACACCTAGTTAAAATTTCATTAATTATTTAATTTTTAATAGTTTTTATTTTAAATTATATTAATTAGGATGATTATATTAATTTTAAATTAATAATTATATTACTAACTATTTAATTAAATAAATTTGATGATAAATTTATGCACTAAATATAATATTAATTCTTTAATTAATTTACTTAATTATTAATATTTTAAATTATATTAATTAAGTTAATCAATATAGCTTAGAGAAGTCTAGGGCTCACTGTGAAGGTGACTTTCTCCCTTTATTACGCTCATTCGGCCAAATCCCGCAAATCCGTCGAACTACAAGATTTAGTAAATCCAAGATTTATGGCAAAAAGAGGGAGATAGAGAATTTATTCCGCCGTGAGATTTCGTCTAGCGTAAATCCCATTTGGCAGGATTTAAGCAAAATCCTGCTCAAATCCGGCATAAATCTTGTTGACATACATCACCTAAAAATTAAATAAATTAACAAAAGTGGGGGTGGGGAGGGGCTTGAGAAAGAAAATTAAAATGGGAAAAGAGTAGTAAAATAATCAGGTGAAGCATCAATGAAAGAAAGGTTAATCAGAACAACATCAATGACTAGATTAAGATGCAAAATCAACGGGAAAAGAGTAGTAAAATACTCAGGTGAAGCACCAATGAAAGAAAGGATAATCATAACAACACAATTGACTAGAGTAAGATGTAAAATCATGGACATGTGCAACAATTTTGGATAGATTAACAAATTTCAAGTCCATTTGACACAAAAATCTAAAGGACCGGCTTGGACAAAATATCATAACCTCTCAAAATCAGGGGAAAAACATCTAAGCAGATCTGGAAACATATTCAAGATTATTTCCTCCAATCCGATGAATTAGTAAAAATTTGACGGTATACTGGTCAGATCTACGCAACCTTAAAAAAATAATAATAAATAAATAAATAAAAAGAAAAAAAAAAATCTACGCAACCTCAAACCGATCCTGCCTAGTATTCTTCTTCTGGAAAATGAAAACCAGTTATAAAGAAAGAATATTAGAAACTTCAAATATCAAAATCCAAAGCCCTAAACCAAAAAGAAAAACGCAAAAATCTGCAAACCAATATAACAATCTAGCTTCATTTCACAAAACCCTAAACCACAGAACCGATGCAACTCCTTCACAACTGATAAAAACATTGAACTTACTTCACCTAAAATAAAAAATTAAAATACAATTGCAAAAACAAACATAAAAAGTGTCGATAAACATCTCTCATCTTCACTCTTCAAAGCATACTCAGCACATCGAAATGATAATAACAAAATACAAGATGATCAAAATACTACTAAAGATATCACCAGACATTACATAAATTGATAAAAATATCGATGACATGAAAAAGAAGTAGAGAGAGAGAGAGGGATTAAAGAAGAACTCACGGCTTCGGGCTTGTTGATGAGCTTGGCTACAGTTTTGGTCGCCTCAGAAAGGATGGATGAGGTGTCTACGCCAGTGAGGTCTACGTTTGTGGAAAGATTGAGGCACGGCATCGCTTCGATCTCCTTCTTCTTGCTCAGACCAGCTCTAACTTCCTACGCCTTTTGCGTCTTATATCTGGTGCGGACCTCGTGACTTGTTCATCATCGGGTTAGGATAATAAACGGTTAAAGATTGCACCGCGTCAGTTATCGCTTAAAGGTGTTGATCTAAATGTTGTTTTGTTTAAATACAAAGTGGTATAATCTATTTCAAATGTAATGGTTTTAGAAATTTTAATATTTGGTTGGAATATAAAGTGTATCAAAATAAAGTAAAGTGAATGTAGTGTAAATAATTTAAGGGTGTGTGGGACAATGTTTTTGTTGATGTACGTCAAAAAACACAACGAAGTTGTGATTTGGGGTCATGAGGTCACGCTCTATTCTTAAAAGTTTTCGCGTCCCATGGTTGATTTTCCTGTCCGAAGGAAGCTTCTCAAGTTCGTCTGCTTCCTACTATTTGAAGCTAAGAGGAAGACAAATGCCCTTACAGTTATGTGTGAAATACCCTGTCGTCTTCTTTCTCCTCTCCAAGTTCGATCGTATCAGCCCACTTCCTCATTTTTTAATTCTTTGTGGCCCATCTCACCACTTCCATAAGCCTAACCTCAAATTTATGTTAGATTTTAAGTTGCTCAATTTTCTCCAATACCCACCTGCAATAAGTCCTTAGCAGCATTCTGCACTGCTAGTAAGCTCAGCTCTCTTCATTTTCTTCTCTCTATTTTTTTTTATTGAAAATTACTTTCTTCAATTGGTAGGTTAAATTTTTGTTCTCTTCATTTACATGTGGAATTCTGATGAGAGATTAATTTCGTAGTTCTTTCTTCATATACGCGCACTTAAATCCCCAAATATTTATCATGATTAAGTTTCGTTCCCTTCCATCCCTATCTGCTATTACTTCGTACAACTTCAATTTTTTGTTCACAGATTTTCCCCCCCTTAAGTCTCTCCATTAATCAAAGCTAAACATAATGGTTTGAATTTGTTTGCTAATTATCTTGTTTACCTTATCCCATCTTGGTCTATTCAATGCAAAGTCATATAAAAAACATTCAATTGCAGCGTTGTGGTTTTATATATTTTTACACTTAAATAAGCCTTCATGGAATACAATAGCCATTTTGGTGATGTTATTACTTTATTTTTTTAATACATGTAAAAATGCAGTTTGCTCGGTTTTCATTTTATTGAATCCACTTATTGATAGTCTCCTCTATCTTTTTTTTGTAATAATAAGGTCATACAATGGGTAAACCTAAAGATGAGGGAGCTTCTGCAACTTGGGAGCATGGTGTTAAAATGGTTTTTTTCAATTTATGTTTAAAGGAAATTGAACTAGGAAATCATCCAACCATTCATTTTAATAAAGTTAGTTGGATGAATTTAATGAAATGTTTTCAAGAGAAAACAGGAAGAGAGCATGATAAAACATAATAAAAAAATAAATGAGATCAACTAAAAAAGAATTTGAAATTATGGAAGAAGTTGAAGGGAGGTTCAACTGGATTGGGTTGTGATCATAGAAGAAAGACTATTGATGCCCCAGATGAATGGTGGAAAGAATGGTGGAAAGAAAAATTACATGTGACCATAGAATTATTACATATTCAAATATGTATTCATTTTAAACTTCATTTTTGCAGTTTCTAACATATACAATTAACTACGCCTTATAAGTCATTTCAAATGCAAAAAAAATTAGATGTTGTGGTCTAGAATCCGAACTTGAGGATAAGCTCGACATGGTGTTCATGGGGGTGGTTGCTACTGGTGCTCATGCATGGATCCTAGCCAAGCTGTTGAACATCATAATTTAGGGGTAGATTTTCAATAATTAGATAATGTTAGTATTTCTTCTTAAGATCCTTTACAAAAAATATATGACCTTAGTGATTGCTCGCACTCAAAATGCCTTGCAACTTCAACTTCTACAATTCGTAAGAAAAAAAATATATGGTTTCCTACAAAACAAAATTACACAACTTGGAAGTGCATGTACAAATATTGGAGCAGTATCAAATGGATCACAATCAACAACCTATCCTCCATCACTCCCTAATGCAATTAAACTGCTTGATTATATCACATAAGTATTTGAAGATATACCAATTTACTTGTACTCAATAAAACTGTTCGAGAATCCTATCAAACGAGAAGTGTTCATGTTTATATTGCCTGAGCGAAGAATTCATTATCTTCATTATTGCTATGAAAATCAAGATGCATAGTTTTTCTCAATTTCACATATGTTCTTACTAAGCTCTTTAACGTAAATTCCAATTTCATCCAGAAAACTTTGTTTGGTTGTTATAAACAGGTTGTTTCATTTACTTTGAAGAGTTGTACTCCAAATAAAGAACCATTAATTCATGTTCACCTTTGTACTGTGGTTGAAATATTTATTGTTCTAATGCTAAAGTGTGTTATCAGTAGATGATCATCAATGAATTCATTACTTAAATATGTGGAAAAAATTTTTATCACATGAGTTAATTGGGAAAATAAATGAGCATTATGTATAGTGAGGTAGAACTCTGAAGGTAAAAATAATATAAATTACGACACACATAAAATTTGAATCTTAGATGTTATACTTCCTTAAGAAAATGCATTTTTTTCTTAGCTATATTTCTATTTTTAAAGTATGGTGGATGTGAATGTGAGCCCAGCTGTTACAAAGGCAGAGAAGGTAAGAATTATGCCAATTATCAAGATTTAAAGGAATGGAGCCTACGTAAAGGAGATGATATGCCCCAACTTGCAGGTTATGGAGCTTTCGCTTAGGCATTATGGTATCTAGCATTGAAATCCAGTGCTCTTATAAATCCGTGCTTTTCCAATGCATACAAATCAATGCTTTTCATCGCAAACCAACCACACAATAAACAAATTAGCTAAAGACACTAGAGAAGAATCCATTTTTTTCAAAAATTTTCTTTTCTTCAATCTCGTAAGAATTATGCCAATTATCAAGATTTAAAGGAATGGAGCCTAAGTAAAGGAGATGATATGCCCCAACTTGCAGGTTATGGAGCTTTCGCTTAGGCATTATGGTATCTAGCATTGAAATCCAATGCTCTTATAAATCCATGCTTTTCCAATGCATACAAATCAATGCTTTTGATCGCAAACCAACAACACAATAAACAAATTAGCTAAAGACACTAGAGAAGAATCCATTTTTTTCTTAGCTATATTTCTATTTTTAAAGTATGGTGGATGTGAATGTGAGCCCAGCTGTTACAAAGGCAGAGAAGGTAAGAATTATGCCAATTATCAAGATTTAAAGGAATGGAGCCTACGTAAAGGAGATGATATGCCCCAACTTGCAGGTTATGGAGCTTTCGCTTAGGCATTATGGTATCTAGCATTGAAATCCAGTGCTCTTATAAATCCGTGCTTTTCCAATGCATACAAATCAATGCTTTTGATCGCAAACCACCCCCACCGATTATATTCATTGTAGTTCCAGGCTCATCCAAAGATTTTTTATTAGCATAGGATACTCAATTTTATTCATGGAACCTATCCTTCTCTTGTTAAATGTCAAACGTGATATGTACTATTACTCTAGATTTTCAAGTTCATTATTTGTTGGGGAAGGAGATTTGGTTGGTTTGGATTTTTACATGTATTTACTATATTGAAATCATTATAATCCATTGGTTTGAGTAGCATGGTCAATGAGGGATCATAACTGAACTATGAACTAATTTGCTTGGGGTGGTAGGGAAGAGAGACATTTTGTTTTGTTAATAGTGCTAATGTTGTTATATCCTTTACATTCTCATGAATAAGAGACCATGTATTCTTTCAGGTTCACTTAAACTTGTATTTGACACCTATATTTTGAGACTTTGTTGGATTAATATGACATTATTACAAAGGAGTGATGGTAATGTTCATAGAAATGATTTGCTAATAAAGGATCAACACATGACAATAGTTATAGTGGCTTTATGTCTCATAAATAAATATTACGAAACATATATTTATAAAACCCTATGTATGACCTCATCATATAATGGAAATAAATGGATTGTCGGCCTATTATCTAGTCATCCTACTAGGTTTTATAATATGTTTTGTATGTCTCGATCAATTTTATGAATCTTTTACATGACTTAGAAACTGTTCATGGCTTGCACGGTTGGTCAATGACTATGGTGAGAGATGTATTCGAGATCACCACTAAACGAATCGATAAGATCAACTTGTGAATGATTACAACAATCAAATGAGACAATTAGTCAATATTCACTACAGGAAAAACTCCAAAAATTGGCGGTTTTTTCCGGCTGTTAGCATGGCTAAACCGGCGGTTTTTTTTATCACCGGCAGTTTCTCGGCGGCATAAAAGCCGCCGGTAAAAATAGCGTAGGAAACCCTTACCGGCGGCCTTTTACCTGCGGTTTTTTTAGCCGGCGGTTTTCCGGCGGTACACACCGTCGGTGACGACCGGATTTGTAACCGGCAGCGTTCCGGCCGTTAAGCCGCCAGTTAATTTACCGACAGCTAACCGGCGGTCACCTTACCGACGGTAAGCCGGCGGTTAAAGCTGGTATCGTGTGTTCGCTAAACTGCCGGCAAGTGCCGGTACACCGTCGTTACCATTACCGGCGGTCAAAGCCGACGGTATTACCGACGGTGTACACCGCCAGACTTCCGCCGTAACACCGTCGATGGCCGTCGGTAACAATCCGGTATAATACCGGCGGTGTAATAACGTTACCGGCAGCTTAGCTTTGGCCGTCCGGTATCGTCGTTTCCGGCGGCCAAACCGCCGGTTGGCCGCCAGAAACCTGTAGCACCTGAAAAAAAAAATTGACAACTTTCCCTCTATTTGAGGGAGGTTCACCCTAAAGTCTAAACCTGCAGAAAGAGCAATACATAATAAAATATTTTGGGCAACACGCCGCTATATTCATCAGAACTATAAACATAACCACAAATCAAATAAACAAGTTTACAATCAAACATTAAGAAGTTCCAAATAAGTTCATCAAACATAAAACTAGTTCACAAAGTTTTAAATTCAATAAGATTACAATCACAAATTCACAAGTTCTAAATATAATCATCAAACATAAAAAAGATCTA